TATATATATATATATATATATATATATATATATTATTTTTTTTTCCTTTTTTTTCTCCTTTTTTTTTTTTATAATTTTTACTATTTCTTTCATTCATTTATTATCATTCTGTACCCTTTCTCTTCCTTCTCTCCCCCTATACATGTTCCCACTCCTCACATTCTCTCCTCTCTCTTTCTAACCTAATACATAAAAAATACATAATGTACAGTGGACGTGTTCAATAAATAATAATATAAAAAATGCTGTAACACACGCACGCCTCCCCCCGCGAGCAAACTCTCCCCCTATCCGCTCCCATGCACATGGTGGTGGATGATTCCCAGGGAGTCGAGGATTATACTCTCTGCCAACCTTGCCACGTCCTTTATGTCGACACCAAGGCCCTACATGAAGCTCCTTGTTGAGTCTGGTATCGTTCCGCGAGCTCCGAACCAAAGGCATCTCACGTGGAACTCTCTCGGCCCGAAACTCTCGCGGAACTTTTCACTAAGGAAAGGGATGCATTTCTCATATGTCTGTTTTTTCTCCCTTTCCACTTTTTCTGCCTGATCGAGGTCGTTGGTCTCATATCTTACGGTCGGATCCAAAATCATCGCCGACTTTCCCGTCTTAGGGAATGCTACAATGTCGGCATATCGGGTGGATCCATCCGTATCTATACAATATACTTCCTCGAAACAGGCGTATTCTCTCTCTTCAAGTAGCCTCATCAGTTCATGCTTGACTCTGTGGTGACGGCGTGTTATAAGGAGGGAGTTGTTGGGGCATTTTCCAAGCACATGTGCTGGTGTTTCTGGCTCTCTGTCGCATTTGCGACAGAGGGACCCAACCTCTCTTACCTGTCCGCTGACACCTGAGACTCCACGCAGGGGAGCATAATTAATATTTAGTTTCAGGGCATTTGACCATTCAGACCCAGAAAGTACTTGCTTATCGTACATGTATTTATTGGCTTTCGGGGTCTCTTTAAAATGGCGAACTCCAATGCCCTGCCACCTGCAATTGGTCCATTCCTCAAACGAATTTTCTCGAAGCGACTGCCGTAGAGCTCTCATATTCCGAATACCCCGATCAACCCCCGATCTCTCGGCACATTCATCAACCTCAGCCGAATAATCAAAGATCGACTGAAAAAGGGCATCGGGCACATTGGACAGTCGCTGAGCAATGGACCAATGTTGTAGAGGAGCCTCCCATTGGCAGCGGATTAATCCTAATCCTCGATACCTCCTGGGAGCGTACAAGTAAAAAAGAATAATCTTATATGTGATTGTGTTTATTTCTATTGAAGTTCAATTAGCTCGTCATGGTATCGAGTTTCTGATTTTTACATATATTTTTATATTACAGCTTAAATAGTTTTATTCTGACTGATGAAAAGTATTGGTCTAGTTAATTCTGAAAAAACAAAAAGTTTAGTTTTTCTCATGGATGTTTGGTACTATCCATTTTTGGAGTGAAAACATGCCGATTAAGTACATATTACTAATGTTAGTGCAAAAGATCAAAAGATCTTATGTAAACATTTTCAACTTTTATTCTATTTGTGCTAAAGGTGACATTTTGTATTCTGCAACTGATATAAGCATTCCGCTACAATGAAAAATAGCAGAGGGAAATAAATTATGAAATTATAATAATAAATCATAAAGAAACAATAAGTTTTTACTTTCCTTAAAGAAACAATTGCTTTCCTGTTTACTCAATGTTTACGTACGATCTTTTGTTCTATCAAGAGTGATATTCATGTTAAGTACGCATTGGATTTTTTTTAATCCCTAATCAGCAAATATACAATCTACTTATGGGGATCTTTTTCACAGTTTAGTATTCGCTGATAAACAAAACTCTATTACTGAATTTCCGAAAAATGCTTCTTCCAGAGATTTCATTCTTACGTGAAAAATTTTAGATCTTGTAATATAGATATTTTTTAATCAATGCAAACGGTGAGGAAGCTATACTGACCTTACTTTGCAGACGTTTTTTTAAGTAATACAACAAAATATGCCGAAAATGAATGATGTTTTCTTCCATATTCACAGTGCAATAGTAAACACAATACTAACCCAGTTTCAACAAGAGTTAACAGATATAGTTGTTGACATATTACAAACAGGATAAACGATCCACCTTAGTGATTCGTCAGAAGTGTACCATAGTGACATGAAAATAAACAGAAAAACCGAAAGGTCTTATTTGCCAATCCAATAAAATGTGGACTTCGTATCAGTTTGTTTTCAGTTGCCTCTTCAATCGCATTGGCTTTGCTGTTGTATTTTTTTAAAAATACATTATTTCATTTGTTTCAACCATTTTTAAGAGAGTAAAATAGTTTTGGGTCCCATGGAAGTCGTTCAGATTACTGAGTTAATTGAAAACGGTGGAAGTCAGCGATATGCGGCCTGAATCAACGGACAGCCTTAAACAATGGTTTGGCGAGCAGTCCAGAAGTACCAGGAGACAGGAAACTACGCTAGGAGGCCGAGATCAGGCCATCCAAAAGTGACAGATCCAGCTAATAACTGCTTTATCGCTGTGCAGTCCCATAGAAACTACTACCAGACTACAGTTCAAATTTCTCATAGATTACGTATTGCCTGGGCAAAGATGACTTAACCTTGGTAACTATGTTTATAGTCAAGTACGGACCTCCATGTGTTCCGAAGGTCGACGCTCAATGCACGCACACATATCCCGTACATCAGGAATATGCGGTAACTTGTGGCCCGTTTATCCTCCTCTGTTTTCTTTTTATGCAGAATAATGCTCGACCGCAAATAGAAAATTTTGCATAGGACTACCTATACGAGGTTAGTGCCCGCACCTTGGGGTCCTCAGCTCATAGCCTGAGTTTCAATCTTGTGGAGCATCTTCGGGACCAAATTTGGACGTCAAACGGTCGACAATATAACCCTCCAAGTACGGAAAATCGATCAGATTCAAAATCGTGTGACCCTCTTATTCGCAGTATGGCTGTAAGAGTATAGAGGTTACATATGCAGACCGTTATTCAAGAAAAGGGAGGCATCACTAGGTACTATAGACTCGGATTTCATAATAAAAAAAAAAAATGAGATGCGTATTATTCTTGTTTTAAAAAGTGTTCATTTGGTTCATCGCACGTTACAATTTTTTAAAATTAATTGTCATAGTGTTTCTCTCTTTATTTCTGGTTTTCTACAAGCAAAATTTGCCACACTATATTGAGGTAAAACAAATTGTAATGATTGTTTTCGGTTAGGAAAGAAATAATGACAAAATTTAAGGTGCGCCGGTTATTTGGCCATCAGTGTGTATATCAAGAGATATTTCTGTAGTTTTAATAGCATATTTTAGAATATCCGGCTTTCTTTGGATCATTCCTTAAAAAAAAAAAAAAAAAAAAAAAAAAAAATAGATATTTTATATCTACTTATATTCAATTATTTTATTTTCATCATGTTTTGTATCTTTTGTAGTCCTGATGAAGACCTGCAAAGTGTGCAAATTTATTATTAATTTGACCGCACCCCTCCCCCCTCCCGATCAACACCTTCTCATCAAATATTAGTTATTGTAATAACTTCTTCATTTATTACCCGAATAAGAGAAAAGACGTTATATGTTTGTGTTGTTTACTAAAAATTATGTAACTATTTAAGCGAACGGCTGGATCAATTATTAATTTTGATGGCTCAAATTTTTCGGTGAGATCCCATGCATGTTTTAAAACAATTTGAGCTAAAAAAAAAAAAAAACTGACCAGTGATTGAATAAAATGTGTTAAAGCAATTTTCCAAAATTTAAGAACGATTTTTTGAGCGAACGGCTGGTTCGATTTTAAAGTTTGATACCTTAAATTATTCGATGAGGTCTTGTGAGTATTTTTGAACAATTTAAGTAAAAAAAACTGACCATGATTTAATAAAACTTATTTGATCGGTTTTCTGAAAGGTATATAACGATTGTTTGAAAGAATGGCTGGATCGATTTTTAGGTTTAATATCTTGAATTATATGGTGAGATCCCGTAATTGTTTTGAAAGAATTTGAGCTAAATATTTTGGAAAATTTCTGTGTAAAGTTTGTTTTACATTAATTTTCCGTTGAGATCCTGTGAGTGTTTTAAAACAATTTGAGCTAAAAAAATAATTATATTATAAGTATTCTCAAATTTATAATAGGGTCTGTTCAACAAGCAGTCTTGGACTGTTTACGCAAGCGCAGTACAGGTTTGTTGGCCTAACAAGACCACAAAACCAGGATAGCTTGTTGAAACAGACCCATTGTTTTTTATCATATTATATGTAAGATGTTGATCATATGTGTTGAATCTAAATTGTCAGTACTTAAAAAACTAGGGAGGTTAAAAAAAAAATTATGAATTTAAAAAAAAACTCGTATACAGAAATCGGGAAATCCTATCCATCCTAAGGGAATGCATGATAATGTCTACTTAAACGCCTTCATTGATTCTTAGTTGATTACTGAAACGTATTTTTAAATTTGGTGTAGTAATCTGGTACCTTTCACATTACATGCTAGCAAATAGATTTCGTTTTATGTATTGGTGCATGTCAACATCCGAACGTTTCGAATTTCCTTATCAACTTATAAATATGTTTAAGCAGATATGGAAATACGTCCCCTTATGGTGGGTACGGTTTCCTGATTTCTGTAGTCTTTTTTTTTTTTGTGTTTTGTTTTTTAATTCGGATATTTTTTTATTTCTGTAACTTATTCCTTTTCAATGGCGATTTGTAATATTTAAGTTAATTAAAAATGATTAAATATGTAGGTTCATATAAAAAGAAAATGACACATTTTTTAATATTTTTGTTTACTTTTTAGAATTAATAAATAATTTCGACCAATATTCAGGAAATAAATTAATACTTATTTTCCTCCTTGAAGTATAGTATCGATAGCTACGCTATAGACATCGATAGTTATTAACTTGGGAACCAGCCTTTATCTAGCCCTACCCTCACTCAATCTCATCAGTTCCTTTTCGTTGCCGTGGTTCGAACGGTGTGGTAGTTCGTATCGTTCTGTAGGTCGTTTTATACAGTTATTTATTTTTTATTTTATTTATTTTTTTAGCCGCTCCATGTAGTGGTTAAGTGTATTTATCAAAGAGTGGGGGAATTGGGTATTTTATCTGATTGTTAGATGAGAACGTTTTGTCAGTTAACGTTAGTGCTGTGTACGAACCGGCTTTATACTTGTAGTAGAAATATATCTTATTATAAGAGACTTTACTGCACATTATCTTTGGATTTTACTTAATTTACAGTTTTTTTGAATAATTAGCATTTATTTATTTGGAACGTTACTATATTTTGATGAAAATGAGAAGCTATTATGATGTTCCTAATAGGAATTATTCCTACATATTTAACTTTGAAGAAGAATTTGAACATCAGGATACAAGAGTATGGATGACGAAGAATTGGACTATTAGCTTCTATATTTGTGGATTATATATGATTTTAATTTTTGGTGGCCAGCATTATATGCAAAGTCGACCTCGATTTAACTTGAAAGGAGTTTTGTGTGTTTGGAATTCTTTACTTGCTGCATTTAGTTTGATGGGTGCATTTAGGACTGCTCCAGAACTTTTTCATGTTTTGAAGACTTATGGAGTTTACCATTCAATATGCATTCCAAGGTATGTATAGTGATAAGAACTTCAGTATATATACAGGAGTATTATTCAGTCTCACCTAAGATAACTTTAAAAAAGTATGGATGATTTCATTTCTTTGAAAATCTGTAGTCAAATAGAAAATGTTTTGTAGGTCACTTATATTTTACTGAATTCTATTATTATTCTTCTTAGTATCAGAATTCATTGACTCAAAGAATCTGCCTTCACAGCATTATTGCAAAATATTTGTGTTTACTTTCATAATTATTCCCAGCACTATATTCAATATTCCATTCTTTTTATTTTTCTTGAAATAAGGCATTCCTGCTTATTATCAATTTTATTTTTTAATAGTTAAATTGAAATAGTAGTATGTATTTAAAATTATTTTTGATTATTTAGAGAAAATATTTTTGTTACAGCTTTATTGAACATGATCGAGTTGCTGGAGTATGGACATGGCTTTTTGTTCTTTCGAAACTCCCTGAACTTGGTGATACAGTTTTTATAGTTCTTAGAAAACAACCGTTAATCTTCCTTCATTGGTATCATCATATAACAGTTTTTCTGTACTCCTGGTTCTCGTATACTGAATACACTGCCACTGCCAGGTGGTTTGTAGTTATGAATTTCTGTGTACATTCTATTATGTACACGTATTATGCGCTTCGTTCTATGGGATATCGCTTACCTAGACGTTTTGCTATGCTCATTACTACATGCCAACTGGCTCAGATGGTCGTTGGATGTACTGTGAATATTTGGGCAGCTCAGTATCTGCAGGAACACCAACCATGCCACGTATCAACTATGAATGTTAAGCTCTCCATTGCCATGTATTTTAGTTATTTTGTATTGTTTGCTAGATTCTTTTATAAGTCATATCTTGATGCTGAAAACAGTAAAAAATCGAAAACGCCAAACAATGTTCCAGGTGGTTACACAAGTAATCAACAGATTGGAAAAGTCAAATATCAGTAACAAATTTAATAAATTATTGGTTTAGTATACATACAACTGTAGAAGAGGAAATTTGTAGTTCTTATTTCTATATATTTTTTTTCTTCTATATCATTTTACATACGATATTGTATGTTTTTTTTGCTTTAGAAGTCAAGAAATAAACAGAGAATTTGTATATTTGAGGTTCTAATTATATAATATAATAAGTTTTCTTCATGTGGATACTTCATGATATGATAGTACATTAATTAATAATGTTGAAAACGTATGTCTGATAGTCAGACCTGAAATGATTGAGAACTACATAAGTTGATCATGTGATAATGTTAACATAATTTAACATGGTTAAATTAAAGTTACATTTTAATTAATAGTGATAATATAAGTTTTAAATTAAAGATTTTTTTAAACAATTTATGTAGATATACTGTTATGTACGATTATAGATATCTCGTTTCTTTTTAAACTTAAATTGAATTTCATGGAGATAATTCTTGGAGAATTAACTCTTGATTTATGACAATTGTCCGATTATTAATTGATTCTAAAATACGAACTATTTAATACCAAAATAATGTCCTTAGTGTAAGAATGTTTTTATTTTCTAAAAGAAAGCTAGTGATTTCTATCGATACTAGAGTTTGCTTCGGTCAATAAGATTAATTTTTAGGATGAAGATGAAAATTTTCATTTCAATTTTTTATGATCAATGAATGTGATAAATATATAATAACTTAATTTGCCTTCCATTTATGTATGATGTGTTTTTAAATTAATGAGTTGTATTAATTAAAAATCATTAACATTCCTAAATGCATTTCAAGTAAATGCGTTGATTCCACATTAAGAAAGGTACCTTAATGTTTATTTGGATTTTAAAATTGGACTCAATAGTTCTACGATCAATTCCTTTCTTTGAAAAAAATATAAAGAAAAGATTGTATGATGCTTTTTTTAATGAATCGTGATCTTGTCAGCGTCTCATATTTGCTTTTTAAAATAAAATGTAGTTATTAATTAATGTTAATTATGTTTTATGCATTTATGTGCCTGAATTATGTTTAGTTACTGTGAATTGTAATTATTTATGTGGATATTGATACACTAATTGTAATCTGTAAAAAAATGTTTATATATTACTGACTGCCAATGTAAAGTCATGTGTAAATAATATACATAATATTTATATTTGACAGATGTGATTCATACGCCACACAAGTGTAAAATTTACACGGCTCTTTACTGAGAATTGTATCACAGAGAATACAATTTATGCTTAGTTTTATTGAAAATAAAATTAAAAAAAAAAAATAGTTTTTATAATGTGAATGTAATTATTTTTGAAGTTCTTTAAATGCTTAGAGATAAGTTGAACTAGTCGTTTATTTATTTAATTTAATACATTGTTGAAAAGAAATTTTTGTTCTGAACAAAAAACAAAAATATAATTTGTTAACTTGATTACTGTTTCATTTAATTCCTAATAATATCATAATTTCGGTAAGTGTTGTTTTTGGGTATTATTTGTTGTATATATTTAACTTTTACATTATAATGAGGCAATGATAACTAAAAATGTTGGCAATGATACTTTGTCAATGATACTACTAAGTCAAGAATTTTTTATTTATTTATAATAGTCCCCATTTCTATAAGCAGATTCTTTGAATTTTTAAGGCTTAATATTATGATCTAATACACTATTATGCTCTTTCAATTTATGAGTCAGAATTCATATAAGAGACTTCTTGGAATAATTTTTGTAGATATTGTCCAGCCATCCTGGTCATTGTCATTTGCTATTATGTTATGAGGCTTTATTGTTAAAGTAATGGTTGATCAATGCAGATTATCAGAATAGTTTTGTAGAGTTAATGGTTGCCATTGCCACATCAAACATGTTGACAATAAAGTACTGAACGTTTTTTAAAGACCAGAGGGATTTCTGAATTGTTGATAAAGAGCAGGAACAATAATCCATTTTGTGTGATATGTCTCTAACACAACTATTCCTGTTGTTTTTTCTTTTCTGATTTTATTATTTATTCATTTTATGTTTGTTTTCCTCTTTTAAGGAGTTTCCGAACTCCAACAAGCAAAAATATATGACAAACAGTCATTGAAAAACCTATAGAGTCTTATGCCTTGATGCCCAAATAACCAACTATTACTTGACTGATTAATTATTACCATCACTCTTGAATTTGACAATGTATTATGTTATATTGTCATGTCGTATTGGTTTATAATTATATTATTCCATTTTAAATGTTAAACCCAGATAATATTGCTATATTTTTTAATCAACGTTTTTATTATTTGATTCATCAAATAGATAGAAATACTGATTTTAATATATGGGGATGCCTTTTTTCTGATGTAAGGTTGTTGAACCCTGAATTGTATTTAATGATGCTGTTTTCATTTTCTGATGAATAATGAATAATGAATTTATCAACTCATATTTATGTAGCCAGATAATGTGCCTTTCTATTGGACATAAGCCATTTTGTAAAATTAAATCCAATTTATATTGATGGTGAGTTATCTTGGTAAAAGATGTACCACAACCTTCAAGCTTGATACCAACTTATAGAATTCATTACATAACACCTCGTTACAGAAACTCTTGTTCATGTTAATAACAAATATTGAAATATTGTGGTTATGATTAATCTACTCATTTTATTGAATATTACTTTTAAAAACGAAGGAATATTACGTTAGGCAGGAAACAGAATTTTATTACAGCACGAAGAGGAACGGAATGTAGGAAATCAGGTGATGCGGTTGAGCCAATGAGAGGGAGTTTCCTTTGTGGTGGGAGGGGAGAGTCCTTTCCAATGTGCGTTACGTTAACCACCAGGTTCTTCCTCTACGTCACTCTTTAAGCATTTTGGTTCACGGAATCTTTGAAAGTGATAAAATATGAATATATATATAAAAAAAAAAATTAGGAAAAAATGAATATTAATAAAGACCTTGGATCGATACCAAAATATATTTTTTATTTCAATATCCCTTAATTATAGTTCAATAATTCATCAATAACTTCATATAAGTCGTTTATTTGCTAAGTGAACCCTAACCATTGTTAACAAATTTTCAGGAAACTATAAGAACTATGTTTTCTATTTCAGTTGTGATATCAAAACCAATATTTTAAAAATAGATAAATTAAGAAATTCTTTATTTATTGTAAATGTTTCCGAAAATAACTGATTATTACAATATTAATTTAATTTATAAAAATTGTAAAATATTACAACAGAGCCCGGGCGGATTTACGGGGTGGGAAGAGGTGGGTTTTCGGGCTGAAGCCCCCACCAAAATGGGAAAATATAACCATGTTTTATCGAAAACAATTATCTCTCAATGTATTATTGTTCGTGTAATTACATTTAAAAGGGCTTTAGGAATCATTTAAACACCATTTTATATAGGTAGTTATTTTCTTTCTTTTTTTTTCCAAAGTAATTATCATTATTTTTATAATAAAAAAAAAGCTTTCGGGCTGAAGCTTCCTCCCAAAATTAAATCCTGGATCCGCTACTGCAACAGAGTATGAACTAAAGTGTTGCCCACGGGCGGATCTACGGGGGGGGAGGGGGGCTTTCGGGCTGAAGCCCCCCCAAAATGCTAAAATATAACCATTTTTTTTCGAAAAAAAATATTTAAAAAGTATCTCTTAAAGTATTATTGTTCGTGTAATTACATTTAAAAGGGTTTTAGGAATCACTTAAACACCATTTCATATAGGTAGTTAGCTTCTTTCTTTTTTTCCAAAGTAATTATCGTTATTTTTATGAAAAAAAAACTTTCGGGCTGAAGCCCCCCCCCCAAAATTAAATCCTGGATCCGCTAGTGGTGTTGCCAATAACCATACAGGATCGAGGCAACAATAAAAACAAATAAATAAGTAAAACTTAAATAGGGCCCCTTTTGGAAAGAATTAAATTTCAAGAATAGTTTTTAACAAAAATAGGTTGATTGGAGTTTGTTTTGGAGGAAAAAATATTGTGAAATTCAATTATAAATGTTATAAAAATTGTGATTAACTTATGGTATACTAAATTAAATTTATTTTTAATTATCATTTGAATAATAAAACGATTATAAGTGCTTTTGATGAATTATTCTTTTAAGGATACTTAGAAGTTTCATTACATCCTTGACAAAAAAAGGCTGGTCTCCGAAATAAACTGTTCAAATGGAAACAAATAATTTACATCCGGAAATGTAAACGAACATTTAATTTTTATGTTTAAACTCTTACAGGTTGGGAATTTGGTCTGCTGTTCAAGGAGAGACTTCATAGTTGTAGGTTTATAATTGTGACTTTATTATTTTAGATGGCTTGTGAAAGGACAAGCCATCTAATATAATTTGTTTTTTCTAAAACTGTGAAAACTAAATAATTAAATAAAATTTGAATGCTAATTATAAAAAAAAAAGATAATTATACGAAAGAACTCGATTACAGAAATAACGCTATCCACCTCAATGAATTGTACTTACATATCTATTTAAACACCTCGGTAGATTGTTATGTAAATTGAGGGGGATTGCTGTCTACAAATATTTAAAGGGATGCCTCCTACTTCTGTTTTTAACTTTTCACAAGTTAGATTATAATTGATCTAGATTATGTCTCCAAAACGTCGGAAAAAAAATAAAAAAACCGTCAACGTTTTACCAATTCAGGCATTATCATGACTGAAAAGAAAAGTAAATCGAATATCACATCACTCCATGATATACAATCGCATACCTTATTTTTTACCTTCATTTTGGAGATATAAGGGCATGTGGTTGGAATCTTTTCAATTATAACCTAACTTAGTGAGTTTTTTACTGATTTATTTATTCATCACATATGATCATAAACTTACATATGATATGCTTTGCAACCAGAAAAAAAAGAGGGTTTTTGAACCAAATTGTTTCAGAACTCTCACGGTATCTCGGTAAGTAATTTGGGCTATCGAATTTGAAAATCGGTCCAACCATTAGCTTGAAAGTTCATTACATACCTAAAAGCGGTCAACCCAAACACAAACTCTCATTGTGATTTTGCCGCAATAGGGTAAAACAACTGAAAAATTATTTGATCATTTAAGAATCTATACGTTAGTTTGGAAATGATAGTCAAATGTTACTTTAATAACACACGTAGATTTCTTCCGGGGAAGGTGGCAGACCTCTCCGTTTCTTCTTTGGCGACAGGTAACATTTTTTAAGGTCACAAGGATTAGAAGATATTCAAATCACGCCCAGTTGTGATGTCATAGCTCTCCTGTTTGCAGTGTTAATGGGTAGGTCTTACGCTAGCTTCAAGATTAAAATTCAAGCATCAGTCACATTAGATTTTTCTTCTGAACTTCGAGCGTAACTATTAAAAAATATATCCATTCCTACTACATATATTAGCGTCAGTCTTCAGGTAACCTAAACAAAAAGCCTGATCCACTGTCGACCTACTACAGAATACTTGTCTGGTCGGTTCCAAAACAAAACAGAATTTGAAACTTTCTATAGTTTCTCTAACCTAGCTACTTCTATTGGTTGAGGTATGTTATCCACTAAACTATAGATCTCAAGAAAGAGTAGTGATGCAACATGAGGCAGAGAAAGGATAAAACTGTTGATTAAAAGTACGAACATTTATAAAATGTTCAGTAAATAGTTCTCTGTACTAAAATTAAAATATCTTCCTTTCCTCTTGCCAGTTCTCAGTTGAGTTTGTTATTAGAAATAACAATCTCGTAAAAAAAGTGAAAGGAAAAAACAACGAAAACTAACTTCTCTCTCCATTCTATTATTTTATAACATTTCTTGGTATTGAGAGAACCTGTAGTAATATGAATGTGTAAATTTCTTGGATAATGAAAACAATGTTTACTATCCAACTTGTTCGCGAAATGAGTTTTAAAAACATTGGAACCGGAAGAGTTACGAAGCGATGTGAAAGTGAAGCTGTGCTACCAAGGAGGCCGGTAGCTTTCTCTTCCTCCACCTGCCTACCAAATATTCCAGCAGCGCAATTGCGTCCTTCACCGCTTTACGTGACTGTACAAATTTTAAAAATAAACATAGTATGTTCATTGAAGGCTTGGGATTGATCCATGTGTCTGTCATATAGACTATGTTGGGTTTGGTTTTTATTTCGATATTAATTGTGTCGTCAACGTCAATTCTTTCAATTTTAAGCTGAACTAAATGTACATGTAAAACATGACGCTTACGATGTGGCACTAGCGGATCCAGGATTTAATTTTGGGGAGGCTTCAGCCTGAAAGCCTATTTTTTTTCATAAAAATAACAATAATTACTTTGGAATAAAATAAAGAAACTAACTACCTGTATGAAATGGTGTTTAAGTGATTCCTAAAGCCCTTTTAAATGTAATTACACGAACAATAACACTTAAAATAATTTTTAAATATTTTTTTCGAAAACA